TTGGTCATTTGTTTCACTAATCTGGCATCTCTGGTTAGTTAAGAAATGAATGTTCCGTGTGGGACGACGCTAAACTCAAGCACAGCAGTTGAGTGTATTAGTGCAGAGTGTGTGTAGTGTGTCATTTGGGACGCAACATGAGACTGACAAGAGGAAGAGCTTCTCTGTTCATCACAGCTCTTATCTGCCTCTGAGGCCGCGGGACGAGCCGTGTGTCTTTATCAGCACATGAACACAACTGTGCCGATAACACACACACGGAGAGAGAGTTCAGCTGCATACACAAACAGAACTCACAGATTATCTGCATCAGACGTGAGCACGCTGACAATAATGAAGCACACGTTACAGAGGAACACTTGTCTTTCCACATCAGTGTTGAGTTCAGCTAAAAACAGCAAGTGAGATGTGTTTAATATTAGCACTCAATACAAGCTTAACAACTGAACATGTACGTGTGTTGTCCTGCACACACTGTAAACCCTAATAGTGGACTTTACTAGAAAATTTGACAGGGCAGAGTAGCCCCTCCCCTTTTCAAAACAGCCAATAGCGTGTTGCTTTTATCGCAGCTCTGTCAGCGAGAGTGGTCGGGCTGAAGCGTATCAAATGAAAAGCCAATGAGAAGAAGGGGGCGGGGCATATCAGACACTAGAGAGCATTTGATTGGTCAGAAGATTTGAAGAGAAACTGAACTATAAGGCGACGGCAATGAAATTGTTGATATATTTAAGCGGAAGTGACAAACTTTGGATATTTACGTCAGGTTTATATCCTCTAAATGTGCATTTTGTCACTGCTTTAGAGACACATTAGCTCATAGATTAAGACTAACACCTAAAACACTTGATTTAGATTTCACAGGACCTGTAGGTGACTGAAGTAAAGTCTAATATTCTGCTTAACCTGTTATCACACTGTAATAAGACATCTGCTGTGCTGTTCACTTCAATCTTTCAGCTAAAGTAAACCATTAAAACACATTCATGCTGCATTTTGTAATCAAAACCTACGAAGCTGAAAGCCAAGTGCTGCAAAGTAAGATGACTCGACAAAGTAACTTGTTTGCAAACAATGTTGAGTCTGTACATGAGTCCAGGATCAGAGAGAATCGAAACACTGGCCAAGACAAACATGCTGAGTCCTGGATCAACACACACACACTGATCTGAGGTCAGCACAGCTCATCATCACGCTCTCAATGCTTACTAAAGGGTTATGAGTGCTTCCTATGCAGCTTCAGGGTCTATGAGAGGCTGGTGTGTGGTTATAAAGGTTGCTGTAGTAAGTTTACATCAGGTTGAGTATCTTGATCTATGATCTTGATCTACTCCAGCTTTTTGTCAATACACACAGCAGAAGATCAGCTTGTATATTAAATGTAGCAGATGAATGTGGTGTATGTGGCTATCCGGACAGGTTTGTGAATGAATCAGCAGCTGAGTGTTTGTGGTTTACATGAGTTTGTGGTTTAAGCTGTGTGTGTTTGTGATTGACATGAGTGTGCTCTGCTGTGCTGTATGAATGTACGAGTGCTGAACAACACACTGAGGTACCCAAACATACACGACTCTGTTCTGCATTAAAGTGCAGTGAAGCACAGAGCAAAAGCAGAGTGAGAACACATGAAGCCGCTCTGCCCAGACAGCAGATGAGAGACCTCTGACCCTCGCTGGCACCAACATGTGAGTGTGGTGGGAAAAACTTCTGCTATATCGTTCATAAGGTGTGTTCGATTTTTTATTTACATTTTTTTTAGCTTTTTAGGAAAACAGTATCGCCAGCAGAAAAAATACGAAAAGTGTGACATGTTTACTGCTCCAAAATATTTTAAATGTTTTAATATAAAATAAAATATAATGTGTTTAAAGGGGCAAAAAGTTGTGCACTGAAATATGCTGTTCTGGGTCTTAAATAGTTTTAAACAGGTCATCATTATCACTAATTCTCCATGTAAAGTTATAGCCAATCAGTACAACCAACAAATCCATCAAAAAAACGCTTAACAAAATGAACATTTATTAACTATTTAGCAGTTTGCTTTAATATTTCCTCTTTTTATGCATAAATTTATGTTGAGCATAAATGCTGTTTATTAAAGCTTTTTAATACTGTTTATGCTACATTGCATTTGTGAAAAATATTTAGTTTTGATTTGATTTTCAGAAGACTTCTAGATTAGCATCTCATTGTCAATTAAATAAATGACACCAAAATACAGTTCTTTATATATAGCATTTTAAAATAATCTAGAAGGTTAAGGTGTAGATACCCTCAAAATAAATATTAACTTGATTTAGACCTCAGCATTCTGAAAATATTGTATTGCACATTAGGAAACAAAAGTATATTTTAAAAAATGTAACTTACTTTGTGCATACATTTGTTTATTATAGCTTATAAAACTCATCTTTTTAGAGGAAGGTTGTGCTAGTAAAATATATGTATATAACTAGTTTTTGCTTGTTTTGACACATTATTTAAAATATGTGGCTGAGAAACAACTTAATTTTAATTGGGCAAATAAAGAAATCAACTGTATATTACAGAACATTATGAGCATTTTGCCCTGTGATAGTCTGAAATGTCATTGATAATGGTCTTAAAAAGGTCTTAAATTTGATGTAATGAAACCTGCAGAAACCCTGTTTTTACTCAGACACTTAAAAAGAATATATTGTAGAGCAGAAATCACAACACTGTCAAACCAGGATATTTTCAACCAAGATTATCACACCGTCAGAATCTTATACCGGCCCATGCCTAGTGTGATCCAGGTATTCAGTATAGCAATACCAGTCAATTTTGACCATGTGGGGACATTTTGTTGGTCCTCATGAAGAAGCGGGCTCATAATAAGGAAAAGTGTTTGGTTTAGAGGTAGAGTTTTGGGGAGGGGAGCGCATATAAAGCCTGTACAATAGAAACACCATTATGGGAAACACCCAGGGGCCGTTCTAGACCCCTTATAGCTCCACCATCAACTAAAACACTGTCAACGTGTTTAGGAATTGAACAAAACCTTTAAAAGAATAAAGATCATAGTCAGATCAGATGCTTTGAGAACAGTTTTAGTTGGCGTAGACTGAACTCTGACCTTCACTGGCAATGATTTGCAGAACATGAGCGCTGCACGCTGTGACGCTAACATGCTGTAAATGTTAAATGTTCATGTCGTTATAATCATTCGCTGTTCATTTATATTTAGATTATAATATAAAGTTTGTACACTTTAACAGCAAGAGTGAGTGAGGGGCCGCTCGAGGATAAAGTACTAGAAACAGCAATGCAAGTCCCCATTAAACATGAAAACCCAACTCTCTCTGTGTGTGTGAGAGAGAGAGAGAGTATCTGGTGTGTGTGAGAAAGATAGAGTGTGTGTGTGTGTGTGCGTGGGACGAGTGACAGCTGGACCTGATGATGCAATGGACACCGAGCATGACGGAGGAGAAGCTTCATGTGCCTGTGGGTCCGCTACACACACTGCAGCATTAGAGCCACGGCTACAGCGACACCACTGTTGTGTTAATGACTTCACACACTTCTGCTCCTACAGTCAGCCTGATTACAATCACAATGTCCAGCTCACAGCAGGATTCACTCTCAGTTTCTGTCTGTGTGTGTGTGTGTGTGTGTGTGTGTGTGTGTGTGTGTGTGTGTGTGTGTGTGTGTGTGTGTGTGTGTGTGTGTGAGTGTGTGAGAGTGAGTGTGTGTTTGGTCTGCAGTGTCGTCAGCTCATCAGTGTTCAGATGTAGATCATCTGACGCCACAGACCTGCAGTAAACACACACTGACGTCTGTATATGTGCAGACGTTCACACACACAATAACAGCAGCGCTTTAAAGCACCGCTGACCCACACATGAACACACACTCTCTCCACTTCTGCTCAGAGGAATCAAGCAGAAATGCAGCGTTTCAGCCCAGTAATGAGTGAAAGGTCTGGTTTGGAGTGATTTTGACAGTGTTTTCAGCCTGACGAGTGTGTGTGAGTGAGTGATTTATGGCAGAATGAATGACTGATGGGAACTCTGCTGTGACTTCAGGATGTCTGTCGTGATCTGAACACTCGTCTTCATCAGAGATGTAGAACAGACTCATCTGCTGCAGTCGCCTCATGCTGATAAATGAACAGCAGACAGACAGAGACATCTTGAAGACTGACTGGTCTAAACAGTTGCTCAAAACATGAGTGTGTGTGTGTGTGTGTGTGTGTGTTTAGTCAGAGTTCATATAATAACACACACACACACACACACACACACACACACATATGAACTGAGCTATCCTCACTCACTCACTCTCCTTCACCAGCGCTCTCCACAGCTCCAGCGCTGTCTCTTGTTGAATTGAGAAGCTTTAATGTTGAAGGTTTCCACTCATGGGTTTATTTCTGTCGACTAAACAATGACTGGACGGTTTTTGTTCCCTATACTGCTTTGCTGCTTATCTAAGAAGCCTGTAATATGAGGATTTCTGGAGATCGTCCTGCTGACACAGGAGCTGTTTAAGGGATAGTTCCCTCATGACAGCTGTTTTAAACCTCTCTGAGTCTCTTTCTTCTGTTAAACACTAAGGACGGTGTTGTGAATGATGTTAGAAACCACTGAAGTGCATTTTTCCTACTACAGAGTCGATGGTTACAGGTTTTAAACATTCTTCAAACTATCTGCTTCAGTGTTCAACAGGAGAAAGAAACTCGTGAAGGTTTATATCCACTTGAGGGAGGGTGAACAGTGTGTACATGCTCATTTTGGGGGTGAACTGTGCCTTTAACACACACATACTGTATGTGTCCCTGCTGTGTGTTTTTGTAATCAGTGTGTGTGTGTGTGTGTGTGTGTGTGTGTGTGTGTGTTTCCTGCTCTGACTGAACTGACTGTCTCCAACACTGAACTCTCTCACTGTGAGTGTTTGTGTTGAGCCCTAACACACACATGTCTCGAGTTCTCCTCGGTGCTCGCACACGTGGAGCGCGACAGCAGCGGAAGTGCCTTTACCTGTTTTGAAGCGCAGGTCGGCGTCGTGCTCGGAGCCGAACTCATTTAGCAGGTACACGAACATGATGCCGAAGGCGTTCTGGATGCCGAACACCGAGCCGTTACACCACATGGAGGCCAGCATCACCACCCACCCCCAGCCGCCCTCGGGGGGCTCGAACTCCTCCGGTGACTTCTGCTCGCTCGCTTTAGTGCAGCCGTTCTCCTGCTTTAGCTCCAGCTCCGGCTCTGACTCTGGCTCCTGCGTGGGCTCCGGCTCCGGCGTGGGCTCCGGCGTGGGCTCCTGCGTGGGCTCCGGCTCCGGCGTGGGCTCCTGCTCCAGCGTGGGCTCCGGCTCCGTCATGGTCTCCAACACTGTGGCGAGCTGCTGCTCACTGACACACACACACACACACAAACTCAACTCACTGACTCTGAGCAGATGCTGCTGCAATAAACCTATAAATATACAGCCGAGCGGAGGGGCGGGGCCACAGACCCACCCGCGCGCACCACACGAGCCGCCTCCTCCTGGAAAACTAACATACTGTACGGGCACGAGCCTACTGTAAGCGCGGCACATCTGCACTCGAGCACGAGCCCACATCTGCGCTCGTGCCAGCCTACAGTATGCGTGACATGTCTGTGCAGGAGAAGCATACGGTCTGCCGTCTGCGCGAGCTTCTTTTGTAGAACTGTGCACATCTGCACTCGAGCACGAGCATACTGTAGATCCGACACATTTACAGTCGAGCACGAGCTGTAGCCTGCCTACGCTGTACTCGTGACACATCTGCACTGATGCACGCGCCTGCTGTGGCATACATCCGCAATTGTGCACGAGCCTAAACTGCACGCGCAACACATCTGCACATCTGCACAGCCTTGCTGAACATCTGCACTCGTGCCCGAGCCTCTGTTTGCAGTGCTGAACATCTGCACTCGTGCACGAGCCTCTGTTTGCAGAGCTGAACATCTGCACTCGTGCACGAGCCTGCCTCTGCAGAGCTCACACACACACACACACACACACACACACACACACAGGCTCTTTTCCTTTTTTCCTCTTCTCTTCTTCCTCCTCTGCTCGTGCTCGCGCTCTGTAGCCCAGAGGCTCTTCTCAATGTCTCTCCGCACAGTCAATAATACAGCAGGACGCGCCTCCCTATAACATGTTCCCTGAATGCTACTGTATGTTGGTTATCCGGGATTGTTGTCGTCATGGAAGAGTAGACAGATCTGGTTATTCTGTAATCTTCTCCCAGCATCTCCAGTGATTAACTGGACCTCAGGAATCAGCACACATGAGCTCAGTTCTGCGACTCCAGTCAGTGTTTTCACTTTTCAGTTTAGTCCCTTTATTAATCAGGGCTCACCACAGTGGAATGAACCGCTAACTATTCCAGCATATGTTTTACACAGTGGATGCCCTTCCAGCTGCAACCCATCATTGGGAAACACCAATACACACACACACGCGCACACACACACTCATACACTACGGCCAGTTTAGTGCAGTTCCCCTATAGCGCATGTGTTTGGACTGTGGGGGAAGCACCCGGAGGAAACCCCCGCCAACACGAGGAGAACATGCAAACTCCACACAGACTCACCAACTGACCCAGCCGGGACTCAAAACAGCGAACTTCTTGCTGTGAGGCCACAGTGGTAACCTCTGAGCCCCCGTGCTTATTTATCCAGGAATAATTTATTGTAGATGTGCTGAATGATCATGAGAGTAGTGTCAGTCAGAAATACTGACTTGCTCAAAACAAAGGAGAAGAAATAAAGGCGGTAAGAGTTCATTGCCAGAATGACAAAATTTGGGCTGTTTTGAAAGGAAAATTTTCAGTGCAACTGCTCCTGCTCCAATCAGCTATAGTGACCAGTGCACATTGCAAACCGTGACTGGTGCATCCGCAAGAGCAGATGAAGAAGTCTACAAGCTGACTCCCCTCGCGTGCACGCGCATCACACAGAGTCTGCAGTTAAACGCAGCGGTTTAATCATGACACTTATCATCATTTTTACCACATTTGACAGCAAGAACAAACACAGAAGCGCTGTCCGAATGACAAGCAGCACCTTATTATGTTCAAATAAATTTAAAACATCAAATGAGACGAATTTATGCCCCATTTTGAAAGTAAAACATACTCTATAGGTACAGTCGTGTAATCTACGCAGGGTGTGGGGGAGAGGGGGCAGTGTTTCCACCTGATCCGGTCTTCCGTGGTCCTGTGACTGCTGGTGTTCCTGATAAATGGTTAAAATTATGACAGTTAAAGTAAGTTCGATTTAAATAATTACATATTAATAAACTATTAATTTAACATTTTGCATTTTTGTGCAGGTTTTTGGACAGCTTCTGGGCTGGAGAGAGTCGACTGTATCTGGAGGCGCTGTAAGAGTTAAAGGGGTCCTGTGGCCCAGCTGATGCAGCAACACCCCTGACACAAACTGGCTTGATTTTATTCACTGTTTACAATAAAACAATCCCATCTAATTAGTAATTTATTTCACGGTCTAACCTTACCCAGACTTTGCGGTTTTAAACAACGATTAGCAGTTTAAGATATAAAGGTCAGCCTGTGGAAGAAACTCTTTTCTTACCAGTGAACTGTATTTGAGCTTCTCTTGGTCTTGAAGTGGGTTTCCGTCATATGTGCTCAGCATTATCCGGAATCAAACACATTATATGAGCATTATTGAACAGAAACTGTGGAAAAGACTGTTCACCAACGAAATGACCGTTTACTTTTTAAAATATGCGCGTGCGCGCCTCTCGTCGAATGCGCGGCAGATCAGCGCGCCCAAATAACACACAGATTTGTGATTTATGTTGTTTATTTCTCACAATCATCAAATGAATGGAGCAGTCAAAAGAAAAAACTCGCATTTCTATAACCAAACTACTGTTAGAAGAAACATTCTTCACATCTGTGCGCGACACCGCCGTCACGCGCGCCCCGGTGTACAGCATCTGCAGATATAATGTTAAAATAAACTTCGTTTCAACTTTATTTGATTATGAGTACCTTTTTTATGGATTTAATAATCGATGTGTAAATATATATAATGGGCCTACATGTAAAATGTTTGCGTACATGTAAAATAACACAGTAGTGTGGATATTGTATTGCACAACACTGCAGGAGCTGTTGAGGACAGATGCAGGTTAGGGCAGGTCTGGTGGTGTATGTGTTAGGCAGTGAGCAGTGTTATTAATTACAGAAATGTATTGTACAGGTGTATTTATTACAGGCAGGTGAGTTTAAAATAAAGGTACAGCATGTACAGTACTATCAGTGTCTCCACCTGACTTCTGCACAACACAACTGATGCTCCCAACCCCATTTATTAGGCAAGAAATCCCACTTATTAACCTGACAAGTGGCTCTGCAGTGAGCACTACTTGAACCTGACAGGAGACCCCTGTGAAGTGAAGAGCATTTCAGGGGACTACGATCTCATCAAGAGAATGCCAAGAGTGTGCAAAGCAGTAATCAATACAGGAGCTGGCTACTTTGAAGAAGCTAGAATACGACATGTGTTCAGTAGTTTCACTGTTTTTGTCATGTATATAACTCCACATGAGTTCAGTCAGAGTTTTGATGCCTTCAGTGTGAATCTACAATTTTCAGTCATGAAAATAAAGAAAACTCTTTGAATGACAAGATGTGTCCACACTCCTGGTCTGTGCTGTATAATGAGTGTTCTGTACCAAACAATTAAGTTCATAGTCATTAGGGCCACTTAATATAGGCTGACAGACGTTTATTATCATTTAATTTAGCAGAAAAACATGCAGTAAACATTTGTAATGTGTTGGCACTAGAAACACCAAGGCTGTGGGTTTGATTCCTGTGGAAAACAAGAATGGATAAAGTGTGTGCGTCTGCCAAAGACACAACTGTGAGAAATCCTTCAGTCAATCACACAACTCAAATGACCGATGTGACGCAGCTTTTGTCTGGGTTATCAATCAATTAATTAATTTTTCATGAGTAAATGTGTTTGTGTGATGACCAGTAGCATCTGCACTTCAGAACACACACATTACAGTATTATAAGTACATCATCACGATCCCTGATCCATTTCAAAGCTGTGCAGTCCGCTAACACACTCCAGAGCAGATGCAGATATGATTCTTCTATCGTTTTATTGGCAATATAAATCAGCTGGATATTAAACATCTCTGCTTTACATTCTGAAATGAAGACTTCCAACATCTACAGCACAGAGCCAGTAAATGATGATGATGGTGAAGCCTGTCAGAGTCAGAGGTGTTGACAGCAGAGGTTTGTTCTGCTGCTGTTCATTATTCACACTGCTGGAAACTGGTGCGGTGGGCGGGGCCAGAGCTCTATAATGAGGGCGTGTCTTAACGATTGACAGACATGAGGAGAAAGTATGGCACACACGCGCACACACACACACGCACAGTGACTGACTGTCTGGCACACATTCTCTCGCGCTCTCTCGCGTTCTCTCTTGCGCACACACACACACACACTCTCACAAACACACACACACACACACACACACACACACTCTCTCTCTCTCTCTCTCTCATGCGTCGTCGTCCTGTGTTCGTGGTGTTTTGGCGGCGTGTGTGTCGGGTGTGTGCTCCGCTCTCCTCTTCCTCAGGCCCTTCATCTTGCGCGTCTGCAGCTTGTTCAGGTCCTGCTTCTGCATGTGCAGCCGGCCCAGCCTGGTGCCAAAGGCATCATGGGAAATGTTCTTCTTCTTCTTGGGCTGCAGGTGAAATGATGAACACACATCAGGATCAGATCATCACACACACACACACACACACACACACACACACACACACACACACACACACACCCCAATACATTGACACGGGTGTTACAAGAGATGCTGGATTATGAGGACACTGCCCATCTAAAAGAGAGAGAGAGAGAGTGTGTGTGTGTGTGTGTGTACCTTGGCTCCTTTAGGCTGTCTGTGTGCCGTCTTGTACAGGTCGTCAGAGGCGGTGTGGTTCCTCCTCATGGTGAAGTCGAATGAGGGCCCGATCTCCTCCAGCTCAATCCTGGGGGTCCGGCAGCCGGACTTCTTCAGCAGCACTCTGGGAAACACCCGCAGCAGCGTTCATGACCTACAGTGAGCTGCACTGTGTGTGTGTGTGTGTGTGTGTGTGTGTGTAATATAATAATTAATGCTAATATTGCTGAAGGGGCTAATAATACTGACCTTAACATGGCTTTAAAACAATTAAAAACTGCTTTCATTCTAGCCCAAATAAACTTTGTGTGTTTGTGTGTGTGTGTGTGTGTGTGTGAGAGAGAGAGTGTGTTTTACTTGTAGCTGCGCATGTAGATCTTTCCCTCCAGTGCAGTGAAGTGCAGCACATGCTCCAGTCCAGCCAGACGCACCGCTGACACTCTCGGCCCACAGAAGAAATCTGACAGACACACACACACACACACACACACACACACACACACACACACACACACACACACACACACACACGCGCACGCACGCGCGCACACACACACACACACACACACACAGGACAGTGTGACGCTCAGTCCACAGAACACTCGGATACACAACTTATCTCTGATTTATAACCCTGAGTGTGTGTGTGTGTGTGTGTGTGTGTGTGTGTGTGTGTGTCACCTGTCAGCACACTCTTCAAGCGCTGATACTCTCGGTCTGTCTCAAACAGATCTCCCGCAAACACCAGCATGGGTTTAGTTCCTTCTGGACACTTGTCCATCTGCTCAACACACATTAGATCAGCTCACACGTACACACACTGACAAAGACAGAAACACACACAGACAGAGATGCACAATCAAACACACACACACACACACACACACACACACACACACACTCTGCTGCACCTTGATGTCTGTGAGGGACCTGAAGTTCTCGATGCCGAGCTCAAACATGTCCAGCACATGGAAGTCAAACATGCGTCCTGTGAGAAACACACACACACAGTCATGAACACACACACACACACACACTCTGCTGAAGAAGAGCACTAGTGTCTGGCTCTTATTATCCCGTCCACACACCGAATATGAGGTTGTTGGGCCTCTTCTTGTTGTGTGAGCCGAACAGAAACAGGGAACAGTCGGATTTCTTGGAGAAGAACTCCTGAAAGAGCAACACAGGCAGGGTTAGCACAGGCTCATGAAGCTGGGTCAGCTGGTTAGCCAGATAACATTCAGTTGAGTCAATCCTGGGTTTTAGGTACTGTGAAGAAAGCTCAGCTTCTGGCTATATTCAAATTATGTTCAGGTTATGTCCTGTTTTTCTGTATGTTCAGGTTATACTCAATAATATTCTCTTTATGTTCAAGTAAATGTTCTGGTTATGTTTAGGTTTTTTTTGTTTAAGTTCGGGTTTTGTTCTGGTTATGTTCAGATTTTGTTCAGGTTATGTTCGGGTTTTGTTCTGGTTATGTTCGGGTTTTGTTCTGGTTATGTTCGGGTTTTGTTCTGGTTATGTTGAGGTTTTGTTCTGGTTATGTTCGGGTTTTGTTCTGGTTATGTTCGGGTTTTGTTCTGGTTATGTTCAGATTTTGTTCTGGTTATGTTCGGGTTTTGTTCTGGTTATGTTCGGGTTTTGTTCTGTTTATGTTCAGGTTTTGTTCTGGTTATGTTTGGGTTTTGTTCTGTTTATGTTCAGGTTTTGTTCTGGTTATGTTCAGAATGGTTATTAACATAACCTCAGAAACTGAGGAACAGAGCCTGACTGCACAGGTCTGGTTTAGTCAACTAAAGCTGATCCAGAGTGTGTTGATAATGTAGCGAGTGCAGATCTGGGATCAGGAGCTCACCAGAGCCGTGGAGTCCTCAAACGGACGCACCATATTCTTCCTGAAAACAGAAGACAACAAACACGAATTACACACACACACACACACACACATCTGAATGACTGAGGCTTTACACTCACTTCTTGTAGAGCACGGCGTTGGGCTTCTTCAGGGCGTACTGAAACAGAGAGAGCTCGTGAGACACACTCAGACTCAAAAACTGCTTTACTGACAACTGCTTTACTTAACATCTCACACACACACACACACACACACACACACACACACACACACACACACACACACACAGTGTCCTCTCACCACATCCTTCAGTGCCTGGCTGACAGTGCTGCTGGTGTTTCCTCCCTTGATGATCATGCTGTTCTTCGGGTTCTCCTTCAGCTTGGACTCGCGGCTCTCCAGGAAGCGCTTGGAGCGACGCGTCTTCGCTTTCCTGCAGGAACACACACACACACACACACAGAGAGAGAGTCAGTGTGTTTCTCCACTCAGAGCAGCAGGTTTGCATCTTCTACACCTCACTAAACTAGTGAAGTCTCCTACACTAAACTCCTTACACACACTGTCCAGTTCACGAGGAGTCCCTAAACACAGGATTTACTTCAACACACACACACACACACACACACACACACACACACACACACACACACACACACACGTCTGTTTTGATGAGTTGTGGGGGCATTCGGCGGGTCTCCTCTGTTTTCTACTGTACAGTATTCCTGTGGGCCTCCCCAACACTACACCTAAGCCAGCCTCACAGTAAACGGTGTATATTCACTCTCTGTCTGCTACTGTGTGTGCACTGTCTAGCGCTCGAGTGTGTAAGTAGACTCTGCTCCGCTTCTCTTCTTCTCCTGTCAGTCCTGACCTCCCCCTCCGCCACTGACCTGTCCTCCAGCAGTGTTTACAGCTCTACATCTGCTCAGTTTTACTCACACAATCCCGTCAGTGTGCGACATCTCTCAGCTCTTCTCCTCCGCGATGATCAACACGTGAAACTGCACGGGGAGACTAAAGAAACACCAGCCTCTTCCGGCGCACACCGGACGTTTCAAAATAAAAGTCGCTACCTTATTATTAGCCTTCACGTTCCGTCGAACATGTTAATTCAGTTAGAACAGGGGTCACCAAACTTGTTACTGGAGGGCCGGTGTCCTGCAGATTTTAGCTCCAACCCTAATCAAACACCCCTGAACAAACTAATCAAGCTCTTACTAGATATACTTGAAACACCCAGGCAGGTGTGTTGAGGCAAGTTAGAGCTAAAACCTGCAGGGACACCGGCCCTCCTGGCCCGAGATTGGTGACCCCTGAGTTAGAATGTTCAGTATTTTACACACACACACACACACACACACACACACACACACACACACACACACACACAAGACATTTATTCAATAATTTTTTTACGAGCTTAGTCCCTTTATTAATCAGACATCGCCACAATGGAATGAACCGACAACTTATCCAGCACATTGGAATTTAACTGTGCAGACCTGCGGCCCTCCAGAAACATGTGTGGGTTGGAGCAAAAACAGAAACGCACGCACACACACACACACACACACACACACACACACACACACACACACACACAATAAGTGTGTAAGATACTGTGTCTCAGTGTTGTCCTCTGTCTGGTTTCACGTACGCTCATGTCTGGGCCAGACTCCAGGACAGACTCCTCTCTGCCCGCTGCTGTGATCCTCCGTCTCCTGACTCTGACTGCTACAGTGTGTGTGAGTGTGTTCTTGGACGGTACATTCTGATTCTGTCCACAATTTACAAAATATAAAATACATCACATTTTCCATCCCCTGTGACCTTCAGGACGGGCGGACAGAGATGAAGCCGCTGTGGTGAACTATGGAGAGCTCAACACACACTTCACCCAACAATCAGCCTGTTCTTATCATCTACCCTCCCTCAATGCCTCCCAACATTCATCTACTTTGCTTCTGTTGAACACAAATGAAGATATTCTGGAGAAAGCTGATAACATGTTGGCCATCTATAGGAAAAACCAACACTATCCACATCAGGGGTTACATCTTTCAGAGTGTTGATCAGTGATGGCCCGTCCCATATGCCTCACGGAGAAGTGGACGGTGCTTCTGGACACTGTTAACATAGGGCTTCCTTTAGACACAGTACAGATTTAACCGTCATTTGTGGATGTGACTCTGTATTGTGGTGCTTGTCAAAGGTTTACAGCAGTAGTGCTGAGCCCATGTGCTGATCCGGCTTATACAGTAGATGAATGAATGCGGCGCCGCCTGAGGGGTCAGATGGAGATAAAGGATGGATATTTACTAATGAAATGAAGCCGACCAGACTAAACATCAAAGATTCTGTTCATAAATAATAGGAAAAATAAGATGTTAAACAATATTAATATTTTTCTCTTAATATAAATAAACTGAATATTTAATGAGTTCTCACTTGGGTTGAGCTCAGGGCATTGAGCAGGCCACTCCTCTACCGCAATCTTTATTTGGCTGAAACCAAGATGCTGTTTGTTTACTCGAGTTTGAGTTGAGTTTTGAATTTCCCTGGTAAACGATAAACAGAGCCGACACCACAGTATGCAAAATATACTCATGTACACCAACACCAGGAGTATCATAAACACGAGCTTATGAATCTCCATAGTGGAGTGAGCCTTGAGTTTGGTTTCTGGGGCCTCATCAGAGGCTATAAGGCCACAGTGCTAACCACTGAGCCACCGTGTGCTGGAATAATCTAGGAAAGAGGAGGAGTCGGGGCGGATTCTTTAAGATGAAGGTAAGAAAGTCTGATTATCTGTTGTGCGTTTGGGTTTGTCTGATTGCTGAATCATGTAATCACTCATACAGGACCAGCTGTGGTCAATCATGAGCAGGTGATCCGCTCGAAAGTGCAATGCACAAACATCACTGCTGATAATAAGAGTGCTCAAGAGCTCACACGTGTTGTGCTGCTAGTTTATTAAACATGTTTGGGTTCTTGTTTTTCAGGTTGACATTTGGAAAAATGACAGTAACTGCATTTGGAAATTGGATGTAGAGAGAAGTAATGATGATGAGTTTCTCCAGGTAAGACAGACTCGGGCATCTCTACAGCCAATCCTGCAGGCACACGTCACAGGCCGAGCACATAATGCAGATCAATAATCCTGAAAGGTGCAGAGTTTAGTTTCGCCAGCAGAGGGCAGTGAAAGCCTGACTCAATAGTGGTGAAGAGCATTTCAATTCAATTCATCTTTATTTGTACTGCACTTATACAATATAGATTGTGTTAAAGCTTCACATAGAAGATTATAGAGAATTAAAACAGTGTTGGCCCAGTTTTCAGAGTTTAGCTCAGTTCAGTGTGGTTTAATAATCAATACTGAGAGTCCAAACACTGAAGAGCAAATCCATCCATGCACAGCTCCACAAGTCCCAAACCAAGCAGGACAGTGGAGGAACAAACTTCACCAACTGACCAAAGTGAAGGAGAAAACCTGGAGAGAAGCCAAGCTCAGCTGGGCTCACCATTTCTTCTCTGGCCAAACGTCTTGTGCAGAGCTGCAGTCTAGGCGCTGGAGAACGCTGGACGTCAGCGAAGACTCGTCTGTCCATGGAGCGTCACAGGGATCAGTCTCATGCTCTCCACTCCTCCATGACCATCACAGCAGCTGCTACGGTCTGCTCCGGGATTGTGAAAACCTTAGGATCATCTCTTTACAGGTCTTGGATTGCATCAGTGGCCCTGCAAAGTCTGAGGCTCTCGAGATGAGCATCCACCGGTGGAAATAGAGAATAAAGAGAATAATTAGCGGAGCTGCTGTTCAGAGTGGAAATAAACCAGTGATGTGTGGAGCTCATTCATGCATCATACCACTGTCAGGGGTGTCCACACAGTCCTGGAGAGTTTAGCTTTAACCCTAATCAAACACACCTGAACCAGCTGATCAAGCTCTTACTAGATATACTAGAAACTTTAAGGCAGGAGTGTTGAAGCAAGTTAGAGCTAAAGTCAGCAGGACACCGGCACACCAGGACTGACTTCAACACTCCTGCACAATGTGATGGATCGAGTGTGTGCTTTAATAAACAGACCGGTCTTTAATCTAGTGTTGAACTGGGAGAGTGTGTCTGAGCCTCGGACTTTATCAGGAAGGCTATTCCAGAGTGTAGGAGCCATAAATGAGAAGGCTCGACCTCCTTTAGTGGACTTTGCTATTCTAGGTACTACCAGAAGCCCTGAGTTTTGAGATCTTAAAGAGCGAGGTGGATTGTAGCGAGACAGAAGGTTGGTTAGATAAACAGGAGCTCGATTATTTACAGCTTTATAGGTGAGAAGTAATATTTTAAATTCAATAGGAAACTGAACAGGCAGGCAGTGTCAGGAGGAGAACATTGGGGTGATATGATCATATTTTCTAGAGCTGTTCAGAACTGCTGCATGTTGCACAAGCTGAAGTTTGTTAATAGAGGATGCTGGGCAGCCAGCAAACAGAGCATTACAGTAATCCAGCCTAGAGCTCACAACAGCATGGACTAGCTTTTCTGCATCTGAGATGGATAGCACACTTCATAACTCAGCAATATTTCTCAGATGAAGGCAGTTTTTGTGACATGGGATATTTGATGTTCAACAGTTAGATTGCTGCCTAATATGACACCCAGATCTTTTACAGTAGCGCTAACGCTAACTCTGTATCCTCTAATTGTAGATTGAGTTGTGAGATCTAATGTTTACAAGATTTAGGCCCAATAAGTAATAATTCTGTTCTGTCTGAGTTTAAAAGAAGGAAATTGTTGGTCATCCAGTCTTGAACATCTCTAATACACTCAGTTAGTTTAGAAAGTTCAGACGTCTCGTCAGGTTTAGTTGAAATATATAATTGAGTATCATCTGCATAGCAGTGAAAGCTGATCCCATGTCTTCTAATAATGTCTCCCAGAGCGTGCATGTAAACTGTAAACAGTAAAGGGCCTAAAACTGATCCTTGAGGCTCCCCATACTGCACTGGGCTGACTTGTGAAGGCGTCCACTAATATTCACACACTGGTAGCGGTCAGTTAAGTATGACTTAAACCATTGTAGAGCCTGTCCCTGGACACCTGTAGACTTTAAGCCATTTATGAGGATATTGTGGTGAATGGTGTCAAATGCCGCACTGAGATCGAGTAAAACTAATAGAGAGACGCACCCTCGGTCAGCAGCTCAGAGCAGATCGCTGGTTTTCACTAATGCAGTTTCTGTACTGTGATGCGGCCTGCAGTTGGACACACACACACACACACACACACACACACACACACACACACACACACACCTATACAACGTTTAAAAGAAATATTTATTATAAAAAAAGTCCAGACATTAGCCAGTTAACAGATGCTGATGCTAAACATGCGACACATCACAGTGCACTCCAGGCAAACAAACACACACACAAACAAACACACACACACACACACACACACTCAAGCTAAGGGGGATTCGATCAGCTCATGAACCCTTAAACCAGAGCGAGAGAGAGCTGACAGATCCACATCCACACGCAGCTCACAACCTCCTCCAAAAAACACACACACACACACACACACCACAACCTGAGTGAAGACCGTGAAGCAGACAGAGGCACGTGAGATACACACAAAACACACACACACACACACCAAGGTGAAGAGGAGGAGAGGAGGAAGCACACGCGCAATGGAGGAACAGATCTGACACACGTCTCTAAACACACTCATGAGGGAGGAACAGATCCAACACACACACACACACACACACACACACACACACACACACACACACACACAGGAGTGGGCCTCATGAAAGCATCAGCGCTGTGAAGGCCACATTCATATCTCATAGTTATGTTCCACAGACAGACACACACACACACACACAGACACACACACACACACACACATATATATATATATATAATATATAATCTCCAGTTGATCATTAGATTAGATTAGAGTTGTTGGAGACGCAGACGCTCTGATTGATGCAACCAGAGTCGGAGTGCAGCGCGTCTCATGTCCAGCTAAAAGGGTCCGTCAGAAGGCAGCCCATAATAAAAGAGTTAAGAGTGTTAAAAGGCCCGCGGCGCTCAGAAGCACTTCCTGAAGACGATCTGCGGCCCGAACTCCTCGTACTCGGCGGCGCTGATCCAGGCGCTCTGCTGCTCGGGCAGGCTGGCCAGCGCCGCTCCGCCGCTCCACACTGAGAAATCTCTGTCCGGCGGACTGGAGACCCGCACACACGCGCTCAGATCCAGAGGAACCATCGCCCGGACCTCCAGCTGCAGCCGCTCCGCCAGACCCGACAACAGCGTGTTCCCACCTGCAGCACACATGAGAGAGAGAAGAGCGGTCATACCTGTACAACACACACACTCATATCTGCACCTGTTCAACACACACACTCATATCTGTACAACACACACACTCATATCTGTACAACACACACACTCACACCTGCACCAGTACAACACACACACTCATACCTGCACAACACACACACTCATACCTGACAGCAGGATGTTTCCCACAAAGCTGCGGCGCAGGTCCAGGTCCGACTGCAGGATGGATCTGAAGACGCTCTCATGCAGACCATAATGATCCCGACCGATGAGCTCCGGCCTGAAGAGGATTTCTGGAGCCCTGTGTGTGTGTGAGAGAGATTTAAAGACCAGCGGCTCACACACACACACACACACACACACACACACACACACACACACTCCATCACAGCACGCTTGATCCCCCTCACGCTGATTTATTTAACTGTCCCGCTTATCCAGATAACAGGTCAATACAGACCCGCTGTTCAGCTTATACAGACCCGTTTCCCACTATGTTCCAGTGTGAGATGAGGAGAAAGCGCTGTGTGCATTACTGTGTGTTCAGGAGTCCAGTTCACTCAAACACTGATCAAACAGCTGAAGGTCAAGAGAAACCAAACTATAGTCATGAGTGAGGCAGACGAGGCTCAGAGGGGTCGCTCTCGCTCAGACAGACGCTTCCTCAGTGGACTGTACATGTAGACTAGTGGCCGTGATGACTGAATGGTTTTAGGGTGATCTGTCCTTCTCAATAGTAAATAAGATGAAGCTGCTCACTTCCAGGACGTCTTCCTAGTCGATTTAGTTTCTGAAACCCTCATGCTGTCGTGTCTGAATACACTTCTGCTATTTTAAGGATGAATAATCCGCTGTGCGCCCGGCGCATGCGCTAACAGGGCTGTGCTGATCCTCTATACGAGTTCTGGATGTGTTTAGAGCAGAACCTGCATTAAACCAATCAGAGTCTCGGCTCTCATTCCCTTTAAGAGTCAGCTGCGTCGCTACATGGTGCATTTGCTATTGACATGTCGACTCTGTAACAGTTAAACAGAGCATCTGCAGCACGAGCATAAAGAACCAGCCTCCTCCATTCAGCCTCTTTACTGTACTCCTTTACTTTACTCCTTTACTTTACTCCTTTACTTTACTCCTTTACTGTGGTGGAAACTCTCTCCACTGAACATCCATTAGCCCACATGTTTAATTTCCTTTATCAAACAATGATTTGCTTTAAAACTGTTTCTAAATCCAGTTCTAATCTCCAGCAGAGGAATAAATGAGCAATGAAGTGTGGTCAGAAAGCTGAGTTATCTCCAAACACACGTCCTGTTCTTATCCACATATGCTGATGCAGACGCCTCCAAAAGCCCACAGCTGGACACATCTACACTTGTGTTTATTATAAATCTGCAGATAATCAATAATACTGATCATAATGATCACATTATACAGATGCAGATGCTCATCAAAACACTGAAGAAGCCCCCCGAGGTGAAGAAGGCCTGGAGGCAGTGTGTTTATATTGATTTTGGTGTGTGCCATTATGGAGATTCTGGACTGACACTGGTTTGCAGTGAACTCTTGAGATCAACACACACACACACACACGTACGTACCGGAAGCGTTGGCTGGCCAGAGGGACGGTGTGTCCGTCAGGGAGTGTGTACTGGATCTCTGACTCTGAGCTCTTCATCTCCGCTTCATAATCCACAGACACAAAGCAGCATCTCTCCTTCATCTCCCGCACGATCTCCAGCTCTGCAGAGGTGCGCAAACACACACCGCTCTCCAGCAGCAGCTGCAACACACACACACACACACACACACAGTTAGTCACACACAGAGCGGTAAACACACACCACACAAGCAGCAGCTGCAACATGCAGACACCAGCTACACACACAAAAACAGTTACATGCAGACGCAGACACACACACACACACACACACACACACACACACACGAATCAGTTTGTCTGAGGTGTAAGACACCTAATCATCTCTGCCTGAAACTCACAGGTCACTGCAGATGGTCTCACTGCTCTAAGATTACCAGAGTGTGTGTGTACGTGTGTGTGTGTCTGCGTGTAAGTGAGTGAAAGCTTGCGTTAGAGAGTGTGTCAGAAGATCAGTCTGTGTGTATTTGAGAGAGAGAGTGTGTGTGTGTGTTTACATGCGGGTTTCTTGTGTTTGTGTGTGAGAGAGAGGGAGTATGTGCTTGCGTGCGTGTGTGTTGACCTTCTGCAGTTGCAGTGTGACGTCTGCTCCGGCGAGGTCGAGGCGCTGAACGGCGTGAGGCAGACAGTAACCCTCAAACACTGGAACACTGTGACTGACTCCATCACCCGAGTCCAGCACCACCCCTGAACGAACACACACACACACACACACACACACACACACACACACACACACACACACACACACACACACACACACACACGGTCTGTTGCATGATTATTTTGGCATTTTCAGATTTGAATGCAGCGATTGGAGGATTAATAACCCTGCATATCATCATCATTTATAACTGATGTTGCGTGGGTGTTGAGATCCTGATCTTTCACTGATTAATGGTGCAGCTCACACTGAATGCATTAATGCAGGATAAACAAGACAGAAAACACCTTTAATAACCTGAGAAACTCAGCACATCCTCAATAACCCAGCACATCTTCTGTCATCGTTATATCTTACAGGAAAGCCTGAATGCTTTCATACGTGTGATCTGAATAAAGCGAGTAAAAATATGTAATAATCTGCGGGTCACGACCTGTGGGTTATGATCTGTACGGATCAACCGTGATCAGTTACACCTCTATTATGTGACCATGATAAATGTTAATTAACTAAAACAGAATTCATTACTGATCTCGAATTGAGTGTTTACACATGACAGTCCTGTAATGTGTCAGAATATTCAGTCAACCGAGCACTTCAACATACTATAAAAGCTCTTGTTATCACGATATGCTGAGTTATTGAATACTGCAGTGAGTCTACACCGCTCAGACGTGAAGAGCAGCTCCACATGCACACTTAAGGCCTGCGCACACCGGCACGCTTCTTACTGGTGTTTTCAGTTGACGTTTAACACCTCGTGACTAAATAAAGCGAGCTAATGTGATCGTGCACACCAACACACAAAACACCTCATGTTAAAGAAACGCCTCATGCTCACGCCACGTCCTGTGAGCACATTCAGACCCTGCAGAAGCTCTGCAAACACCTGATGACTGAAACTGACCGGTGGTGCGTCCAGAGGCGTAGAGCGCCAGCACAGCCTGAACCGCCACAAAGGTGAGCGGGACACTGAAGGCCTCGAACATGAGCTCCACCATGCGCTGGCGGTTCTGCAGGGGGTTCAGAGCCGCTTCCGTCAGCAGAACCGGGTGGTCCTCGGGGGCCGCAGACAGCAGCTGGAACGCATGAGTCCAGAGCTGCAGCACAGAGACGGCATGAAACTCCTCTGAAACACAGCTTAGAGATGTTCATCTGAGCAGAACAGTGGTGTTAATGACGCTCCGCCAGCTCACCATCTCCATCTCATCCCAGTTGCTGACCACGCCGTGCCTGATGGGATACCTGAGGGTCAGGACGCCACGCATGTGCTGCGCATCATGGCCCACATACAGCTCTCGGTCCACACACGAGTTCATCACCTCCTGCACAACAACAACAGGTCAGAGCTTTGATGGATTACAGATATGATGCTACTCCACATCTCAGCTCGCTCACACACACACACACACACACACACACACACACACACACACACACACACACACACCAGCAGTGCAGCTGTTCTCTACAGTACGTGCACACAGCGCAGTGTCCTGGCTGAAGTGTGTACCTCATATTTGGGACGGCCGATGACTGTAGGGAACACCGCAGCTGGAAGGTCCTGATCCGCAAAGCCGGCCTTCATCAAGCCAGATCCTGAGTCCAGAACGATCGGAGTCTTATAATCAGTCATCTAATGGAGAAGAGAAACAGCGGCTCAGAGATCATCTCAGAGAGCCAGACACATCTCAAACACAGACTCTGCTGAAATCATCTTCAGACAAAGCTTACAGCGCCATCTGGAGTTGCACAGGAGAACCAGAACTACACTGACTGGGCTCTGCTGATCTCCATTATATTGCTCTCTGCCTGTTTCTGTGCTGGTTCAGGACCGCAGTGTCAGATCAAGTGCAATGGTCAACAGGAGATGATCTGGCTTTGGGTTCCCTTTATACCAGGGGTGTCCAAACTCAATCCTGGAGGGCCGGTGTCCTGCAGATTTCAGCTCCATCCTGCCTCAACACACCTGCAAGGATGTTTCTAGAAATCCCAGTAAGAGCTTGATCAGCTAGCCCAGGTGTGTCTGATTGGGGTTGGAGCTAAACTTTGCAGGACACCGGCCCTCCAGGACAGAGTTTGGGCATGCCTGCATTATACCTTAATAATGTTAAAACAAGACCTGCACCTCATCAGACGCATGCGTCATGTTCGTTTAATCCAACTAAGCTTCAATCAGAACTAAATCCTGGTGCTACAGAGGAAGCATCGACTGGGCACTCGTGCAGCTGTGGTAGGAAGGTGAACAGATCTACAACCTAAAGAAGTGAAAATTAAATATGAAAAACACCCAGGTGACTCGAGTCGAGGAATAATCTAGCCTTGAACTCACTGGGTAAAAAGGAAATCAGCTATTCTGGGTGTGAAATATCACTAAACTTTAGGGTTGTGAAAAGTTGAACAGGTTAAACAGACTGATGCGTGTAGTTTGATAAGAAATAAAATATCCATCTATAATTTCATCAGTCAATCCATAAAGCAGCCTAATCATAGACACAAACATCATCATGATGATTATACACAGCAGATCTACATGAGAATGAGGAAACAGGGCTGTGTGAGGCTCACAGAATGACAATCGCATGTATTTATTCAGCTGTGTGCAGGTATATCCAGATATTTATTCTTATTTCCAGATTCTCCGGGTAGTTACACTGCCCACTTCAGCAAACTTTGTTTATTTATAATTTCATCTTGCTAAAAATATTGAAAATAGATTTGCCATCTGACTTGATCTGTGCTGTTGACACTAATTGTAAGCCAATGGACACGTGACTGCAGTAACTCTGTCTTTCAGAATGTGACATGATCAGTTAAAGACAGAGAAATGACAAATTTTAGGTCAGTTCACTGAAATGCTGACTTCTGTGTGTGAGTGTGTGTTCCGTCTGTCTGTGTGTTTGACCTGTGTTGTGGCTGTGCTGATCTGCTGAACTGTAGATGTGCAGGTCCTCATGAAGCCTCCAGCGTCTGCAGTGGAGCTCAGCGTCTGCATCTCCTGGCTCTGCTCGGAGCGCTGCACCACTGCCGTGTTGTTGTTGTTGTTCTGCATGTGTAGGCTTGCTGGTCGGCTCTGTGTGTGTTCTTCACCTTCATCACCTTCATAATCTTCATCATCTTCAGTGTGCTCTGAGGTAGAGGAGGACTCCTCCAGGTCTCCAGTGTGTGTTTGTTCAGATGCTGAAGGAGGACAGAGACGGTGCAATGAGCGACAAAGAAACTACTCACAAGAATCACTCACTTAATGTAATGTGTATTATTATAGTGCATTTATCAGGATTGGTCTCTCCACACCACCACCAGCTCCACTTGGATGATGATCCAGAAGCCACAGGACAACAGCACCAGTGCTTCACCACACACCAGCTATAGTGATGGAGTGGAGAGACAGGGATGGAGCCAATTCAGTGGATGGGAATGATTGGGAAGCCATGATGGGTAAGGGCTGATGGAGGGAGTTTGGCCAGGACATCGGGGTTTCATTGTTATCTATTTACATGGCCTCAGTCAGGTCTGTCATTCAGAAATAAGGCGTTTAACACCACTGCTCTGCTGAGGACACACAACTCTACCTCTCACTCCAGGAAGATGATCTAATGATTGCTGCCTGAATATCAGCATTTCTGACAGGTATTTACAGCTAGATGAAGGACCACCACCTTCAACAGAATCTCTCCCAACCAGTCCAAAGCTTAACCACAACATCACTGTACTACTGGGCACCTCGGCAGCAAATCCTTCCAGGACAGTCAGAAACCTAGGAGTGGTTCAGCTGAAATGTACAGATGACATTGCTGCAGCTTTGCCCTATATGACATCAAGAAGATTAGACCTTTCCTAACAGAACATGCTGCTCAACTCCCTGTCCAAGTCCTTGTCCTGTGCAAGCTGGACTACTGCAAGGCTCTTTTGGCTGTCTTCACAACCAGCGCCACCAAGCTGATTCAGAAGCAGAGAGACTGGACTTCAATGAACCAATAATGCATGGCACACCTTTTGTTCATCAGTCTACACTGGCTGCCAAATCAAGGTGCTGTTACTCTCCTACAAAACAACTGCAAGTTCTGCAACCATTTACCTGAGCCCAGGACTTCAGGCTTATGTGCCTGGCAGGATCCTGCGCTCTGCAACTGAACACCGTTTAGGGGTCCCATCACAGGGAGGCACAAAAACCCTTCACCTATAAGTCCATCCTGGTGGAGTGACTTGTTTAACTCTGAGTGCAGCTGTCTGACCACTTTCTGACCTTGTTTGTCTGACCAAGGAGTCTGACCCGTCTTTAGATGCTTCTTGATAATGGTCAGTTTCATCAATACATCCACCTAAATTCTGACAATGCTCCAGAGAGTGCTTAAAAAACTACCTGTAGGACACAGTCTGCACCACATCCTCTCTCCTAACACGTCTCGGATAATTCAGACCGATTGCCACTCACATCAACAAGCACTGATTTGCCTTCGATTTCAGCCTTTTGTCCAAACCCGTCGAGTGAAATCAGGACTCAAATGGTGGACTGTAAACTCTGCATTAGACAGCATTCATATACTGATGACATCAAGTGCTTCATTTATCCTCACTTTAAGTCACTTTGGATGAACCCATCTGCTAAGAGTCTCTTGTCTGAATACCGAATACGCCACATTCAGCTGATAATGTTATGTGGCTGAATATTCAGTGCATCCTTAATTACTTAGTGACTTACCCAACTCTGCTGAAGAAGGGTCATGTGGACCAGTGAGAGGAACAGTCCTCTGTGGAGCAGCAGCAATCGGGACGCCTCCGGGATCAAACTCACTGCGCACATCACTGCTCTCCAGGGCCGAGGGAACACCACAGACCTGCAGCTCCTCCAGATCCACAGCAGTATCTGTAGGCTCCCAGGTGGAGGACTTACCCACCAGAGGATGTGCTGCTTCAGGACGGATGAGCACTGAGGTGCTGGTGTCGGGCAGATATGGAGACACTGCAAATGGAGAGGCAGATGAGCTGCTGAGGGGCTCTCCATGAGGAAGGACTTCGCTCCACATCTCAGAGCCCAGACTGGAGCCTGAGAGACCTGCTGCTTCTGGATCTCCACTGCACTCATCTTCAGGTAATCCATCAGAAGAGTCGGGCAGCTCTAGGTCTGTGGGGTCAGCAGGTTCAGGACTCTGGAGTCTCCTCAGCATCTCCTCATCTCTCCACTGTGAACTATTCTTCATCGCTGAACATCTGATGACTCTGCCTGATCTGCTCTTCTCCACCTCTGAGCTCTTCTTTCCCACTTCTGTAATCTCCTCCAGTGTCTGGTCTTCAATCTCATTGCACTGTATCTCCTCCAGCCGCTTGTCTTCGGTCTTGGTGCACTGCTGCATCTTCTCCAGGGTCTGGTCTTCAGTTTCAGTGCATCGCCGCAGCACTTCCAGGGTCGGGTCTTTGGTCTCGCTGCACTGCCTTATCTCCTCTAGTCTCTCGTTTTCATTCTCAGTCCACTGCCACCGCTCCTCCAGGGTCTGGTCTTCAGTCTCAGTGCACTGCCGAATCTCATCTAGGGTCTGGTTTTCAGTTTCGGTGTATGACTGCATCTCCATCAGGGTCTGGTCTTCAGCTTTGGGGCATGACTGCAACACTTCCACGGTCTGGTCTTCAGTCTCTGTGCACTGCTGGATCTCGTCCGGGGTCTGGTCTTCAGCTTTGGGGCATGACTGCAGCACGTCCAGGGTTTGGTCTTCAGTTTGGGTGTGCCGCCGCAGCTCCTCCAGCTTCACACACTCCTCCAGGATCTGTTCCTCCAAAAGCTGAAGATCTCCAAGCTCTCGAAGGATCCCACTTCTGTCCACATGAGGATCAGCTTCCAGCTGCGCAGGTCTGCCACATATAAACAATCCTCTACTCGACAAACACGCAGCATCACAGTCTCCTTCTCCAGCATCAGCAGTGCTCAGAGACTCAGAATCCAGAGGAAGCTCATGTTCAAGCTCATCATTGTCCAGTCCGATCACACCAGCCTCAGACAGTTCCCTCGATGACATCTAGAGTGAAAAATGCACCAATGTGAAATGTAGAAACTAACCGCACACGCACACACACACACACACGAACACGAACTCACCTTACTGCACTGTTGTCCTTCAGTCCACACAGGTGGCCAGTGTCCGTGCAGATCCTCAGAGATCAGATCATCCAGAGCCACTTCCTGTGCCAGCACTTCCTCTTCCTCCTGCAGAAAGAGTTCAGTTCAGATCACCACATCTATAGGGTCAAACTCAGAGCAGAAATGCGTGATCTCAGGACTCAACCGTGAAACATCTGTAACTGCACACATGATGATATTCATAACAGGTCATTTTACCCTGAGTCTTCATGAACACTGCTTCACAAATAACTGTATGCACTTATATTTACACACCGAGTGTACACAAATTCATAAAGGACCTGTTATGAATACACTTGATGTGAAAAAGATCTCACCTGTATAATCCCAGCGGCTCGCTCCAGAGTCTCCTGCACCTCCTCCAGCTGCTCCTGCTCTCTCTGAAGCCAGTCTGCAACAGACATGTCCAGCCTGCAGAGAACAGAGCCTCAGAACTACAGCACACGCCCCAAAACACCACCCATTACACAGCTGCACCATCCTGGATAAACCACAAGCCCAAAAACACCACCTGCATCATACCCCTGTAGGTCTGAGACAAGAATCAAGTCAAAGGCATCGTCAGGTGAGCAGTTTCCAATTGCTGAAAAACTCTAGATGAACTTCGGTTTGGCCAGATATAGGTTGAAGTTGTAATTTCGGGTTAGGGTTTGTTTCAGTATGCAGTATAGCTAGGTTAAAGCAGTTGATCATAAAGGACGGCTCGCTTTACTCAAAAACTCAATTTGCGTTAATTGCTCACCCATGACACTGAACCAGACCTTTATTCACCTTCAAAACAAAAATCAAGACTTTTCATTTTTTTAGACTACAGTACCACACGATTCATGAAGTGTTCATACCCCAGAAAGAAACCAACATAAACAAAACCAGGGGTCCCCAAACTCTGTTCTGGAGCTCCAGTGTCTTGCAGAGTTCAGCTCCAACTTCCCTTAACAGACCTACTTAGAAGCACGACTATAAAGAGCTTGATCTCCTGAATCAGGTGTCTAATTGGGGTTAAAGCTAAACTCTGGGGGACACCTACCCTCCTGGACCAACGTTGGGCCCCTCTGCTCAAAACAGTCCATGTGTCCTTAGTGCACATGAAGAAATATATCCCTCAATAGAAGATATCCCAAAATCTTCCTTTGCGCTCTGAAGATGAACGACGGTCTTAAGTATGGAACGAAATGAGGGAAAGAAATTAACAAGATTTTAATTTTTGGGGGAACTCTATCTTTAAGATTGTGAAGGTGTTTGAAGTGAGATATCTATCTTTTAACATCATGCATGCATCGGAGTCTAGCGTACCGCTCCACTGAGTCTGGTCTGAGGTTGTGCAGGTCGAAGGTGTCCCACTGGAGAGATGGGTCTCCATCCACCGGTCGCTCTTCAGCGTCGGTCAGTGTGCTGGACAGGATGACCCCCTCAGCACTCAGGCCGGACTCCTGCAGGCTCTGGTCCTCGTGTGTGCAGTGGGTCTGTGTGGGCCGGTCCCGCGATCGCTCGGACAGATTGGGGCTGCGTGGGTTCGAGGAGCAGCGGGGCGTGATGCTGACGGTGTAGCAGCTCTCCAGCTCCTCTATGGGGAGGCTCAGCCAGGGGTTGGTGGGCAGCGTTGCAGAGCGCTTCACCTTGATTTCCAGGTTCACAGAGTCAGAACTGATTTTGGGGACAATCTGAATGCTGGCATGAGCAGCGTCCCGCTTCAGCCCGAACCCCGTCAGCTCCTCCTGCTGGTCCTCAGAGTCGGACACACTCACTATGATCTCTTCATGAATCTGCGCGTGAAGGGGGCTCGGCTTAAAGACAGGATCTCCATTAACTAGAATACCCGGCGTGTCTCTCCGGCCCCTGAGGTCCAGGAGACTGCTGCCCGCTCCATCAAAGCCAGAGTCAAAGGAGCTGAGAGATGGAGGTTTAGGCGCAGCTCGTGTGGAGGAGACCGCGGGCCACTTGGAGAGATCACTGATGCTCCCGCACTGCACCGAGCCTGGAGGGTCAGCAGTGGAGAGGTCAGAGGTCGAGCGGTGGCCCTTCAGGTACTCGTACTGCCACTGAAGGGCCAGCTGGAGGTCTTGGAGGGGAACGGCACCAGGAGCGGTCAGGATCCTCCTCAGGGTCATGCATCTGCGGACAAACATCAGCATTCATTACACACACTAATGCTGAACGAGAGCTTGATTGTGTTCAGGACCTGCACTGCTACAGGACATACGTTTAGGTTTGGGGTGTAATGACATTGCCCCCTCAGCTGTCAGAACACAGTAAACACAGCGAGTGTATTTCAGCACACACACACACACACACACACACACACACACACACACCCACCCTGTTGCAGGAGTGTTGGAAGTGTGCGGCTCTGTTGAGGGTCTGGAGCTGGTTCTGGACTGCAGAGCTCAGCTGGTCCTTTAGGCGGGTCAGCTCCTCCAGCCAGGGCTCTGCAGGCCTCCTGTCTGCTGGTGGGACAGTCTCTGCTAGTGTGTGCATCACATCCTCTGCTCGCCGCACTAGCGCCTGCACACACACATCACACATATAAATACGACAGCAGAGTTATCCACATTCAGCACTCATCTGTGTTCAGTTGGACTCTATAAGGCTTCACTTTAGGGTGCACACTACATGGTCTCAGCATGGTTCAACATTACTACACTGCAATATTATGTAATTAACACTGAATTACCCATGTTGAACATCCCCAACACGGCTCACACACGACTGAGCATATAAACACATCAGCTGAACTCATTTAATCCCAATCTGTTCATGCCCTGTGAATATGCAGCTTCAGCTGTCGCTCACCATAGCGTGAGTGTAAACCGAAGAGTGAAACTCCAGCCGGAGCCGGTCAGCGGTGTGGGCGTCCCGGGCCTCTTCAGGTGTGTAGGACTGAACCTTGGTCTTCATCAGCTCCAGCATCTGCTGCTCGATCTGAAACACATCAGCTAGAGCTCATATAGCCTTCATCCACACTCTCTATATAGACTGAGGAGCACTCTGAAGACACAACTAAAGTTCCGGCAGATTTAGAGCGCATTACAGCTGCACATCACTCTGCTGAATAATTAAACAAGCTGGCCACTTTATTAGGTACACCTCACTAGTACCATGATGTTTTTGCCTTCAGAACTGCCTTAATCCTTCATGTCATAGATTCAACAAGCTACTGGAAATATTCCTCAGAGATTTTGCTCCATATTGACATGATAGCATCACACAGTTGCTGCAGATTTGTCGGCTGCACATCCAAAAATCCCAGTAGATCAGCAGTTTCTGAAATACTCAAAGCAGCCCGTCTGGCAGCAACAACCATGCCACATTCAAAGTCTCTTAAATCCCCTTTCTTCCCCATTCTGATGCTCACTCTGAACTGCAGCAGATCCTCTTCACCATGTCTACATGTCTGAATGCAGTGAGCTGCTGCCATGTGATTGGCTGGGAAAAGAAGTTTGCATTAATGAGCAGTTGGCAGGTGTACCTAATAAAGTGGCCAGTGAGTGCAGTCAAAAATCAGATCAGAACACAGCAGAAGTGAGAGTCAGTGTGGTGATCTGACCTGCTGTGCATCTCTCTGCAGACGGAGCACCTGCAGCTGCATGTGTGCTTTACTGAAGGCCTGTTTCCAGAGCAGCTCCACCTTCTCCACCGCCGTCATGATCCTGACACACACACACACACACACACACACACACACACACAGGCAGTAAGTAAGTCTACAAGCATTCGAGCGCAGACACACTGACTGAAAACACACACACACACCCGCTGTAGTGGCGCAGCATATCCTGAGTGGTTTGTGTGAACAGGACAGTTCCAGCCATGGCGTGGAAGCAGGCGTCTCTCTCAGGGAATCGCAGCTTCTCCATCAGACACTCGCAGCGCTTCAGCAGCTCGTCCAGACCCAGATCCCTGAACACAGCAGCACACCAGCATCTCCTGTTAGATTAATACTGCGCACACACACTCATCTGTGCAGATCAGCTGATCACATTCCCCAACTCCACTCACCCAGATCCCTCTTCAGTGCCGTAAACACACACACATAGAATAAGATCGTCACTGTAAGTTTAGCAGCACTTGACGGAGGGGAAATCAGTTTATTTATGCTTATTTTTGGGTGAACTGTCCTGTTAATTAAACATTCAGATATAATCAGTGTCTTACTGTAGAGTTTAACACAAAGTGCTCAAATACAGCAGTAAAGAGCACGTACAGCCGATAAATAGAGAATAAAGTGTGTGTTGATGCTTCTGTCAGTCTATGTGGTTCATCATCTAGAACTCCACATCTATAATCCTCTTAGTCTATGCTGACATCATCTTCAGCAGCTCAAACACTCTCATGGCTAATGGACAGACGGCTGCTTCTCACTCAGGCCTGCTGAATATGCTAATGAGATGGACACTAGTGGGCGGGGCTTTCCCCCTCTGATGACACGTACAGAGGGAGAATGTGATAAATACACTTGATGCATGTTGAGCATTAAGGGCTGCTGGAGACTCTGCTGGGCCCGAACCCTTGTAGAGCGAGTTCTCTGTAACGGCTCCACTTACCTCCGGAGCTGCTGGAAGCGGGCCTCGTTGACGGAGCAGAAGCGCTGCAGCCGCTGGATCTCTGACGGGACGGGCTGCTTGGACAGAGACTGAAGGGTGGAGATGCAGGACGGCAGTCTGTTCACCACCGTCAGGAACTCCTGCGCAAACACGTCCACCTCCTGCACAGCACACAGAGAGACGAGCTGAAGAGGAGGACCGTACAACACTCGCTGGAGAGATTAACCCGGTCTACACGTATAGCCAATATCTGACCCAGAGATAAACCGTCCAGTCATGTCCAACACGGTCATGTTTGCATTGACAATGACACGACAGCAGACGACACTAATGACAGATGAGGACACCAGTCCTGGTTCTAGAGCTGTGCTGAGTGTAGTGGAGACCCGTCAGCTGGAGATCTCCTGCTGTATTAGTGTCCGCTAATGATGACGTCTGCTGGACAGTGAGGGTCCGCCGCCGCCGCTCATCTGTGTGTTCATTGCTCTTATTCAGCGTTTTGCAGCTGACGGCCCTCGAGTTCAGTTCAGCCTGTAATGACAGCACCGGCCCACCAGGCTGCGGGTCCAGATCAAGACTGAACCGAGTGTGTGAACGTGATCGAGTGTGTTATGAAACCCTGAGAGAAACACAGACGACAGAGAGAGATGCAGAGCAGCCCTTTCAGATGCTAATGAGAGCGTGCGCACACACACACACACACGCGCACACACACACACACACACACACACACACACACACACACACACACACACACACACACACACAGCATCCTTACACAACGCCCGCGCGTCTCACATGTGAATAAAAGACTGGAGGACAAAGAGAATCACATGAATGCAGATATCAGCCCTCCATACCATCCCACACACACACACACACACACACACACAGTCTGTTCATGTTTCATTCATGAGTGAGCGATCAAACACAAGCCCCTCTCTCAGACTGAGCACACTGAGGGTCAGTTCACACACAAATGCAGATTCAGTCTCAGATTCAATCTGAGAGACAGCAGGAGTGTTTGACTATTGGCAATGCAGCTTTCCACATGACTGGTTTAGGGGTCCTCAGCATCATTAATCGTTGTGTTTAACGTGTTGTAAAGCACATGTACAATACAGCTATACGTCACATTATTCCATATTGGCATCATATTCATAAATTAGAGCAAAACATCAGTAATCGAACATTACGAGTGTGTGTGTGTGTGTGTGTGTGTGTGTGTGTGTGTGTGTGTGTGTGTATGGGGCACTGCTCTCCTGGCTGCCGTCATCAGTCTCCTCTCTCTCCTGTAGTCTTCAACACTAGTGCTGAGCTTACTTCACTGAGCGAACAGGAAGACTAATACTGCTGTGATCATTATTAATGCTCTCCCACTCACTGCCTGCGCTCTGAGCTCATCAACTATGAGGACTACACTGCAGACACACACACAGATGAGGAAAGCAGTGCTGGAGCAGACACACATCTCCCGGGTCAGACCACATTCTGCTGTTTTAGTCTCGGATTGGACCATTTATCAGATCCGTCAGAAAGAGGACGAGACAAACACCATGTGCTGTCCATTATTAGAGAAACAGCACTGCAGGACACTTCTAGTGTTGATAAACAGAACAGAGAAGCTGTAACGTTATTACAAATACACTGAAGAAATCATCAGCTGAATAAGGATCAAGTGTGAAATAGTAGCTGATAATGCTGAATGTAGAACTCGAACATGATCATGATCATGAAGCCAGATTTATTCAGCCTCATCTTCAGTAAATGATTCAGTTCTTCACTCATTAATCTTCATGTTTCATTGCTAGATGATCATTTCTGAAGAATTATTCAGTGGCGTATTTCTGATGGCCGGTGTCGCCATCTACTGGTGAAATAATGCAGCTGCTGCATACATCTTTCATGTTTGAGCATGGTTAAATGCAGATGATGGAGATTTGAATCTTCACTATAAGCATCAGTGGTGTATCTGCACTAGACACTGTTCCCCCAGTGCTGCTGTGTTATTGCACTGTGTGTAACTTCATCACCAATTTAAAAGACTAAAGACTCGATCTCTTAGGATTAATAACCCTGCATATCAGCATCTTTTATAGCTGATGTTGCGTGGGTGTTGAGATCCTGATCTTTCACTGATTAATGGTGCAGCTCACACTGAATGCATTAATGCAGGATAAACAAGACAGAAAACACCTTGAAGCTCATCAAGAGAATGCCAAGAGTGTGCAAAGCAGCAATCAAAGCAAAAGCTGGCTACTTTGAAGAAGCTAGAATACGACATGTGTTCAGTTGTTTCACTGTTTTTGTCATGTATATAACTCCACATGAGTTCAGTCAGAGTTTTGATGTCTTCAGTGTGAATCTACAATTTACATATTGATGAAAATAAAGAAAACTCTTTGAATGAGAAGATGTGTCCACACTCCTGGTCTGTACTGTGTGTGTGTGTATATATATATATATATATATATATAGAAGGAGTGCATGAGTGCAGGTAATTAATGGCATTAAGGGTAATAGATGATGTTTCTCACCTTGACGAAGCACACCCAGCTGTGGTGGCAGTAGATCAGGTATCCTCCCAGACTGGAGATCAGCTGGCTGCGGTCGATGTAGTTGGAGAGCTGGAACACCTCCCGCAGGAAGAAGCGCTGTGCACACGCAAGAAAACACACACTTTAAAGTCTCTCTCTCTCACACACACACACACACACACACACACACACACACACACACACACACACACACACACACACACACACACACACACACACACACACACACACACACACACACACGACTCTTTTTAAGAGATGCTCATTTACTCTTTACTTGTTTCTAACCCGAGTCTCGTTCTCATGCCGATCACAGACAATACACTGAAATGTGTTTAATCTCCAACCTCTGACCTCCACAGCGGCAGGGTTTGACATTAACACTGGTGTGTGAGACGGACTCCTCCACTAGCCACTTTGGCTGGTTGAAAATAATGTTTAGATTGCCAGAGCTGCAGAAGACTCGAGCTTTAGTTTAAGATTATTAGTCATTGATGCTGTAAATGTGCTCTTAGAATGAGAAGCAGCACGGCTGATGAGTGTTCGCGAGAGCAAAAGAAAGCAGGTGAACACTGAATGAGGATGATCAGGCACAGGGAGAGACATTGATGATCCAGACGCAGTGACCAGAGCTTTAGTGTCACGTGCACAGCTGATGTGATGTGTGTGAGTGCTTGAAAGCTCCCATTTCCTTGCATGGCCAGTTTAGTTTATCAGTTCCCCAATAGTGCATGTGTTTGGACTGTGGGGGAGCAGCTGGAGGAAACCCACGCCAACACAGGGAGAACATGCAAACTCCACACAGAAACACCAACTGACCCAGCCGGGACTCAAACCAGCGATCCTTCTTGCAGTGAGGCGTTCATGCAACCCACTGCACCACCAAAAAACAACAAATACGACTCCTCTGCTCCTCTGATTTATCCACAGATGTTGAGTTAATGTACAGTGTTTAGGCAAGCTGCTTTAAAATCAACTAATTAAAATGACTATAAAGGTAAAGTACAGTACTTCATTACTCTAGCAGCGAACACCCACCGCTGATGCTGACGTTAAACTGTACATGACCGTGTTTCATAACGCTGACTATAAACGCATAGTGAATGTAAGAAGCTGCCCTCGGGTCACTGTAAATCCGCCACAGTCAACAACACAATGAGTCTCATTATATTCCAGCAGTCAAATGAGCAAGCTGAGGCTCCTCTTCTATTCATCTAATTTAGATGCTGGACGTCAACTCATGACCACTTTTATTCACGCAGAACTCCTGAAGGCCGTCGATTCTGCAGCTCTCAGAAGCCACGATCCACTCTGAACATCTCCGCTGAGGTGATATCAGGTGACGGGCTGCTCAACACTGATAATCAATCAACAAACCAGCTAGATTAATACCTATGATGACAAGAAATATGACATCTATTATCATCCAAAAATAGAGAGATGTGTTCAGATTATCGCTATTGCTCTCCTGTTTCGTGACTGAAATGAACAGCAGACACTGCTTTGTCAGATTTGACTGGTTCCAAATCCATCAAGTGTGCACTATCTAGGCAGCAGGTGAACTCTCTGCCCACCACTGGCAGGAAATGCTCTCTAGTAAACACTAATAACGTTCAGTCTCATTGGGTTTAGAAACACTCGCTTGCTATTTCAGGATGCTTTGCTGTAGATTAGTGATGGTGCTGATGTTTGAGTATCTGTTTTGTTCATTGCTGCTTCACTCGTGTGTTTCTCTGTTATGCTGCTTGCTGTAAAGCGGTTAGAGAACGCAACGTTGACAGGCTTTACACAAAATAAACGCATCAGTACATCTGAATGTAGTTGGTTTATGTTATAGTGCAAATAGTAAAGTGCTATAGTGTCTGTCACATGAAGCAGGGTGATGTAAAAATATACAGTATATAAATATATACACTAATATATCCATGTATAACATTAGATCTTTTTTAAAGCCATGTCAGCTTAATTGACTATGCACACAGCAAAACACTTCAGAATATTACAAATGTAAACAAAACGAGATGCTTCAATTATATTTGATATATGCATATTTCACTGATATGGTTGTTTGTCTTAAAGCCATATGAGCAGCATTAGTCATGTCTATACTCAAAGCAGAAACTACAAAAGTTATAACAACAATACTGATGAGAGATCTTTCAAGTTAATCAGTGAAATCCCTGTTAAACATTCCTCATTTAATATTCTGTGATTAAAACACTCTATATTATAGTATAAAGATAAACGTTTTATTCATTATAAGATGCAAATATCTTCTGACTTCTTCAACGATCCCGTAAATATATAAGAAACAGTGTTTTAAGGACAGTCTCCAAAAGAATAAAGTTAATTTGTTTGTTATTAAAAGCGTCAACAGTCCTCGAGTCGAGAGCAGTGAGTTTCTTGTTTGATTAATCACGATAAGCACAGGCATATAGCACACTGCCACTTTAAGAGCTGCACGGATCCAATGCACTGCTACACATTTTCATTCATCAAGCTCCCATGAAGGTCTTTGAAATGTGCATATGTCATCAGATGTTTATTAACAGAAACATGAGGGCGGGACATAGAGAAGCTCCTCCCCTTTATTAAAAAAAACAGTCACAGTGTTTCGTTTCATCTCAGCTCACAGCCAGTGAGAGTGGTTGAGCTCAAGCGCATCTCATAAGCGTCTTGAAGGGGGCGGGGCTTGTCAGACACTAGAGAGCATTTGATTGGGCAGAAGATTTGATGAGAAACTGAAGTATGTGGAGACGTTTATAAAACCGTTGATATATTTAGGCAGAAGAGTCAAGCTGTACATGTTTATATCAGGGTTATATCATCTACATGTGAATGCTGTCACTGTTTAAATGCACACGTGCTCATGGATATCCTAAACACTAACAATACTGATACTGACATCTAAAACACTCATCTCACCTTTAAGCTAATCACTTTATATAAATACAGATGAAGTCAGAATTATTAGCGCCTGTTTATTTTCCCCCAGTTTCTGTTTAGCAGAGAGCAGATTTCTCCAGCACATCTCTAATCATAACAGTGTTAATAACTCATCTCTAATCACTGATTTACTTTCTCTTTGTCATGATGACAGTAAATAATATTAGACTAGATATCCTTCAAGACACTTCTATACAGCTTACAGTGACATGTAAAGGCTTCACTAGGGTAATTAGGGTAACTAGGCAGATTAGGGTAATTAAGTCCTGCCCAAGTCAAATATCTTAAAGAGGCTAATAATATTGACCTTAAAATGGTGTTTAAAATATTAAAAACTGCTTTTATTCTAGTCAAAATACAACAAATCAGACGTTCTCCAGAAGAAAAAAATATTATCAGACATACTGTGAACATTTCCTCAATCTGTTCATCATTATTTGGGAAATATCAATGAAAATAACTCACAGCAGGGCGAATAATTTTACCTTATTCAGAACGATTATCTGCAGAATTGAGATTATAATTATGACCAAAATAATGGAGATTATGATTTCCCCCATAATCGATCAGCCGTATTTCAGACATGTAGACTCACTCTGAAGAGGACTCCTCTGTGCCGGCGGGATGCGCTCGGGCTCAGCAGCTTCTCCAGCAGCTTCAGCGCATCTTTCTTCTTTGGTTGAACAATATACACAGAGTGAACCGTCCTCCTGTGCACCTACACACACACACACACATTACAGTGTCTCCATTATTAGATAAACACACACACACACACATGGCATGTGATCTTCTGCCCACAGTTTGTCACACACTCCAGAATCAGCAGCTCATTCA